GGGGGAGACGCGATGGGGTGGCCAGGGGTTCGGTCCCTGGCGAGTGAATTGACGCGCCTTGGCAGGGACGCCGAAGGGTGTTTTCGCGCCTTCGGGAGGATCGAAATGACACGCCACTGTGGGCAAGGCGGTCGCACGTGCGACCGTCGACGATGTCATTTCCCGCCATAGAGAAGCGACGTCGCGGGAGGTCCATCTGCAAGAGACTACTTAAGTCCTGCGCATCCCAACCCGTCTGTATGTCGTCCGCGCCGAGAAGGTGTCTCCAGTACAGAAGCCCGCCGCGCCTGCTGCAAACCGCCCGCAACAACGACGAAGTGGTGCAAGCCTATTCGCCGCGGATCGCTGTGATCGTCGATCTTCTATTCTTCTCGCCGCCAGTCTTTTCGCCGTGGAGTACTCTCGCCGTCGTCTTTGTCCTTCTGTCCACCACCTGCACGTTGCGGAGTACGGCGGAGGACCGATCTTCTGTCTGCCACGTGCACGTCGTCGTCTTCTTCCAGTGGAGGACAGATCTCCTGTGTCGCGGTTGTGGCCATCGTCGTCACGTCTTCTTCCCGCGGAGGACAGATCTTCTTTCTACCACGTGCATGTCGTCGTCTTCTTCCCGCGGTTTACAGATCTCCTGCGTCGCGAAGGTGTCCGTCGTCATCACGTCTTCTTCCCGCGGAGGGCAGATCTTATGTGTACCACGCACACATCATCGTCGTCACGCCACAGCCACACGGGAGACGCTTTTCACGGGAGACATATTTCTAGGAGATATATTTTCCGCCAGGTTGGCCACACTTCCCGCTCATCCGATCACACCGCCAAGCTCGCCTACAAAGGTCACCACGAAACATGTCTACGCGAGGGAACACCCGTGGGAAGAAGCGCGACATAGTCGTTGACGACAGCCAAGGGCAGGGAAGAGGGCGGCGGCGGGCCCCAGAAGCGAAGAGGCTGCGTACGGAAGATGTGTCAGCAGGGGTGCCTCGTCGTGGAGCGCAAGGTTGGGCGGCGGCAGCAGAAGGGGACTACGACGATGAGTTCACGACGGAGGAGGAGCAGGCGGAGGCGACCACGTCTGAAGTACCCGAGAGCGGTCGAGGGCGCTCTTCAGATCACACCGCTTCAAAGAGGATGATGACCCCGCCACCCGAGGCGCAGCATCTGCGTGGCCGTGAAACGCGGACAGAGAAGGCTCCCGTCGTCGATCTTGGCGGCGATGATGACGAGCCCTTGGAGAGACGTCGCATTCGCATTCGTACAACAGCGACCCCATCGCCGGAGGTGACCGTACGCGTTGCTGCAAACGAAAGGCCAGTCTCGGGTAGGCTGCCCGCCACGCCATGTCAGCCACGTCAGCGCAACGAGGGTGGTAATGGAGGGTCCGTCCAACGCGGCGGCGGGGGGGGAAGTCGTGGCGGACGCGCGCACAGTTGGCGCCGAGGATGGAGGTGCTGCGGGGGCAGGCGGTTCAGGCACTGTGGCCGCCGTTGCGATGGCGAGGGAGGAGGCAGCAGTTGGGCCGACGGCCAGAGAGGAGGCACATGGCGAGAAGAAAGGCGATCGGGAGGCGGGCGAGCCCGGTTCAAGCCTGGTACGTAGGAGTGTCATGACAAAACACCTCATCGATCGTGCCGTCCTTTGGGTTGATGACAAAGCTTTCTGGACGACGGGGGAGGGGCGAAGACTGTACAACATCGTCCACGATACCAGAAAGTACTTCGTCGCCATCGCCAGCGGTCTTCCAACGTCAGCCATCCCTTGGAGCGTCGTTCTGCCGAAATCCAGCATGCGCGTAGGCAGGATCAACGACCAATCACAGTTGCAGCAAGCAATCTCCCGTGCGGGGGCAATCGAGAACGTAGCTCTGCGCGTCTTGCACGGTTGGGTATTCAAGTCCGGGAAATGCCCGAGGGATACCATGTGGCTTTCCTGTAGTCGCTGGAATCCTTTGCGACGGACATTGAGCGTGCTATGTGGTACGGCGAGGAGTGGTGCGACGTTGTCAGTCCGGCGGTTTGCGCGCACACGATAGATCTGTCCATGGACCTGCCACTGTGGTTCGCCGGCGCCAACATCGAGGATAGACCGAACGACGACGACATGGTGGCGCACCAGGAGTCCACCTTCATCTGCGTCGCGTATGCATTCCGCGTGGCGGTGCAAATGGGGCCGCTCATCGACGGCGAGTTCATCTCGCACGAGCATCTTTGTTGGGTGGCTGACTGCTTCAGGCTGTTGTTGGCGGCGTGCATGTGGATAATGCGCACGGCGGGAGACGATCCGCGCAGCCACTGCGAGGCTTACTACTTCGCGGACCTCGTGGCGAAGCCCACACTCGTCGTGGCCATGCATCGGTCCTTCGATCATCGACGATCCGTCGTCCGCGCCGTGAAAGTCGTCACAGAGAGGCTTGAGAAGGCGAACGCTACGTTCGGACAGCACCCCGACTACATCTCTCATTGGGCACCCTCCGACATTGGTTTCAGGCGCGACGCGAGCATCACGGGGCCGGAGGATGCGAAGAAGCTGGATTGGTTGGGTTCGGGCCCCCCCGATGATGACAACAACAACGACGGGAAAGATGACGCGTAGGGGGGGGGGGGGGGGGGGGGGGGGGGGGGGGGGGGGGGGGGGGTGGCGTTCGCATGTGCAAGTGGCTGGTCTTGATGGGCTTCACTGGGGTTGCACCGTCGCAAAGTGCGCACCTGTTTAGTGTGTCGGCGACAGGGATTCCGCGGAATCGTCCTCGGTTGCTCAGTTGTTTAGCCCGTCGGCTCTGCCACGAAGACGGGTTGATTGTTTCCAATGGTGTGTATTGCATTTAGTGCAGGTGTTCAGCGTGTCGGTTGTTGGAGTTGACGACGAGATCATTCAATGTCAGCGTGTATTGTGTTTTTATATTCGCAGTTCGCTGCGCAACTTTTTTTTTTTTTGTGATGAGTCCGTTGTTCTCGTGTCATGTGTGGAATGATTTAAAGATGATTGCAGATAATTGCAGATGATTGCCTCCTATGCATGCATGCAATCCAGGTTCATGTATCTCTGTTTTTTTGTGTCGTAGTTAACTAACGTTAAGCAGCTTGCCTCAACAATTTGAAAACCCATCTTTGACGTCACGCAAGAGAAGCAAATGAAAACATTCATGACAAACGAATTAAAGAGACACACAAAAACAAATGAGCAAGGAATTGAGGACACAGATAAAAAAAAAGAAAAAAAGGATCCCACCACACCGAACCATTCGAGACATGCGATGTGAAAACAACAACAACAACAACAACAACAACAACAACAACAACAACAACAACAACAACAACAACAACAACCACAACAACATCAACAACAACAACCGAGAGAGATACAAAAAAAGAAGGTTCTTCCAATATCAAACGTTCGTACAACTGTACGAACCACGCAACCGTCCACACGACGAAAACAAGAAAGGAAGTCACATACGACAACCATGCCGCCATACAATCGACCCTGCGACTTCGCGCACGACGCCAATGGACGCGGGCCACGTGTCAATTCCACCCGCCTGCCGATCGCACCAAC